GGGGTTTTAGGGGGTTTAGGGGGGTTGGTATGGTGCAATGTGATTTGGGTGGCGACTGCTGCCCGGTAACGGATTAGCGGAAATGAGGTTTTGTTAATGCTGCAACATGAAAAAAAACGGTTGCACAATCTTGACAGCATGGCAAAACGGTGAAGTCTGGGCTCGAGAATCAAGTGTGCAGAGATGTGGTGTGCAGAGCAACGTGCAAAACTACAACTCGAAATTGAGTTCGTTTTAGATTGGATTTTAGTGACTACCATTCATCTAGACCAGGGGTGCCCGATAAGTAGATCGGGATCTACCAGTAGATCTCAAAGGGAGTGCTGGTAGATCCTGAGCAATTACATTTAAAGAAACAAAAAAAAAATGATAGATTTAATTCTATTTTCAAGATGCTAATCTAGCTAGGGCTAAAGTAAGGACCACAGAAGTATTGAGTCAGACGGTATTCTGCCATACAACTGCAGCCATTTAATCAAAGTAGTAAATATATATTCATAGTTTTTAATGTAGGTAGATCCTTTTAGCCCCGGTCATTTGAAAACTAGCCTCTGAGCCGAAAAAGTGTGGACACCCCTGATCTAGACAGTGACTTGTCGTGAGTTCCTCTCAGATTTGTTTACTAGTCAGACTGCTGAGATCACATGTTGAGATGGTATTTTAAGTGCGGGGTGTTTCGGTGAAATTAAAACTTTTTTCCACAATGTGTGCAAAAAACAATATATACATATATACATATATATGTATATATGTGTATATACATGTAAATATATTTATATATGTATATGTATATATATATACATACACATCACTCCACTGGGGTCTGATGTCTACACACTGACATGTCCGGTACCTGACTCTCGTCTGCTGTACAGCAGGTTGTCCTCCATGCCTTCTTCTTCATTCAACCCGTGACCTCTTTGTAGGCTGCCCCTCTTCACACCGGGCTCAGTCCAGTTCATCTACCAGAACAAAAAGCACAGTAACCACTGAACACCACTTTTCATTGCTAGGCTAACCGCAGAAATAACTGCGCTACAGAGTGTAGTATATATTTAAGTTAGTAAATAAGTTGGTCGTGGCACTCAATTTTGGTGTGTAGTGATTGGTATCACAATTTGCGTGTCAAACTCAAGGCCCGCGGACTGAATGTGATCCTTTACATCAGGGGATGTCAAACTCATTTCCACCAGGGGGCCACATCAGCGATACAGTTCGCCTTGAAGGGCCCTAGATCACGGGTCCCTAACCCCCGGTCCGCGGACCAGTACCAGTCCATAGGTCATTTAGTACCAGGTCGCAGTGGGACACAATGAAAAAAATGTGAAATTTTTTTTTTTACTAATTTACTTCATTCATTCCAAGAAAATCCTTTCTAAATGTACTTTCTTTATTTAAAGATAATCTGGCAGTATTTTAAAAATAATAGGTCATTCAGACTGATGCTAACAGAATAGAGTCTAAAAGATGTTTTATTTTGAAAATGTAATGATCCTTCGATGCTAAATACCTTGCTACCGGTCTGTAGTAACGACTGGTACTGGCTGACCAGTCCTTGGAACAAAAAAGGTCGGGGACAACTGGTATAGATGTAACTACTGCACAACAGACTAATACATATTTCTGCAATTGATTATTATTTGATTGATTATAAAAAACTTTTAATTATTTAGGTCAAGAAACTCTGCTGCATGGACTTTACAAAATGCTTTTTAAGCAAAACACAAAACAGCTTGGCGGGCTACATTTGGCCCCCGGACCTCAAGTTTGACACCTATGCTCTACACCATTTTATGTGACACCATAGTGCTCATTGTGCCCTAAGGTTGTCTTAAAATGAATGTTTATTTTAAGAGTCTGTACTGATGGTTTCTTGAAGGAGTCATAGTTCAAACATCATAAACTCGTGCAGTCAGTCGTCAAAAAGAGGAAGAGGAAAAATGACTCAGGGCTACGCTGAAATAATTACGGCCTGACTGACCTCTACAATGACTACGGGAGTCGGATTTGTTCCCCTTTATTTTCATGTTGTCTGCAGTCACGGCGTTTGTCAATATTGAAAACTAATTTCGAGTGCAACTCACACCATATTTCTCTCGCTCTACGGCAGCGTTTCACATATCGTAGTGCCATTGTGCTGCCGTTGGCGCAAAACGAAACCGCTGTTGAGAAGTACAGCAGCTTAATTGGAATCTTTTCATTTTTATAGAGAGCTGTGGCTTTTTTGGCTACAGTTCTTCCATTAACACCGGTATGATCCGTAGATCAACCCGGATCTATCGACAACGGCGATAGTGGGTCACACTGCTCTCTGCTGGGTGCCAGGCTAATGTCACTACTGGACATCGATCATTGTGAATGTGACGCGGGACACGAAATCGTCTTTAAACAAATATAACTCATCAAGTTTCAATCATGCACGGTAGGTGTAAGTCGTTCGCTGTTGCGACATTACCTTCTTTCTCGTGTCATTGGTTAGTCATACACCTGATATAGCCGTACAAAACCTTTGCGCGGAGGTCCCGTAACAACAGATGCTAGTATTTCTCCCCAAATTAATTATATTTTATAATGTAAATTTTAATATTATCTTACTATTATAATTCCTTATCTCGTATTATTGCATTTTGGTTGATTGAAGGAGATTTTTTTGGGGTGGGGGAAACTGCGAAAATTGAGTGCAGTTCTTAATGTAGGTTAACTCGCACGAAGAAAAAAATTATGTTGAATTGTAACGGTCAATACATTTAAGAGAAAAAAAAAACAACATTCTTTGCAACAAACATTCAGCATAAATTGGTGATTTGCTTTTAGGTATGTGTTTGTATGTGTGTGTGTGTACCTACAGGAAAGGCGATCTCACACAGTTTGTGTATCCAGTCCCCCACTTGGTTTCTGTCTGCAGCAAACACGTACATCTTCTCAGTGGTCTCCACCAGAAAAGACCCAGTATCTTTGGGACAGCCGTTAACGTCCACCTCTGACACTCTGATACAATTCGACAGTCGGATCACCTACGGTACGGGACGCATGAGGAACATTTTAGCCAAGCCCGGAGTGTTGTAGTACGTATTCTCAGCACACGTTTTGGCCTGATGGACTTTAAAGTTTTGATAACAGAAAATAAATTGTAACTAAACCTTGTAAATGCACACAAAAAAAACTTCTTTCAACCAAGAAAAGTAGCTTTCTTGTAGCCTGTGTACCTTTTTGTGTTCCTGCTGTTTGCGCGGACCTTTGTCCATCGCTCCTCCATCTTTACACTCGAAGAACTCGAGTCTGGAGATGGAACATGTGTTTTCTCGGAACAACACGCTCCACATGCGCTTCCATTTCTGCACACACAGATACAGCACAAACAATGCTGAAGTTAGCCGTATTTTTAGCGTGTGTCGTTGTTGCTAATCGTACCTTTCCAAACGTCTGCTGCTGCTGCAGGTAGAGGATCCCTTGTTTTCTGATGTCCTCTTCCATAATCGGTCCTAGTCTTCCTCCACTTCTATCCTCTCTTCTCTCCTCTGCTGATCGTTGACTATTACACCACTTTGTTTTCTGCTTCTTACAAACGCCCTATTTTTATTTATTTTTTTATCCCTGTTGTATCACCTTTAACCTTTGTCCTTCATCGTTGTCCTCGTCCTTTTGTTTACAACTCCTAGGCTTGGAAGTTGCCTCGAACGTTTACCTCATGTTTTTAGTTGTCTTACTTCGTCAGCGTCTTCCACTCGATATATCCAACCTCGAGTTTGTCTCATAGTCTTCGCTCTCTCTCTCTGTGTGTGTGTGTGTGTGTGTGTGTGCGTGGTATCAGCGTGATGCAGGCAGATGCTGTGTGTCATCTGTTTCCTGTCTATGGTACATTGTGTAATGCAGATGTGTTTGGCAACATAAGCCTTTTAGGGTATCATCGGACTGGTCCTACTTCAGCTCGTGATACAGTCAAACAATTGTATTGTAATTGTAATTGTCCTTGTTACATACATTTACCTACAGTAACATTGTATGTCACCATTTCGCATCAGTGTTTCACTTTTTCCCCTCTTCTCAAGTTCACTCGAGACATTGTCATAAAATTATAGAGACGTTTTGTCGCCCTCTGGTGGTCGTGATCTAAAGTGAGAGGGCAGAGGGAAAAAAAACTAATTCCCATGAACTGCATGCTCTGTTTTAATAACGTAGCATAAATTACTGTTCGTGTCAACTGGGGCGCTGCCAGGAATTTTGGGCCCCATTTTAGGATATGACATTTTAGTCTATGTAATAGACTTAGGAACATGACTATATTTGTACATACCATACAGGAGGCACTATTTGATGCAAGACTGATCACCCCCCCCCCCCCCCCCAGAAACTGGCAACAACCAATGTTACTGTTTATTCATGTTGATCCAACATTTACCGTTTTATTATTAGTTCACATTGTTTGGTTCTGATTTAGAATTACATCAACATCAGTTTCCTTGCTTCACTCCTGTGTCGTCTCTTGATGTTCGGCAGGGTGCTGTACGTCTGTGTCCAATACTTGACATAGTCTGACCTCAGGTCGTAGCTGAAAACATGAGATAGGCGTGAGAAATATGTAACTGTGTGTTAGCTTAGCCTTAACAATATAGAGCAGAGGTGGGGCCAAGTCACAAGTAAGTCTCAAGTCTTTGCACTCAAGTCCGAGTCTTAAGTCTTAAGTCTTAAGTCAAGACAGGCAAAGTCTGAGTCGAGTCCAGGTCAAGACCGATAAGTGTTAAGTCAAGTCCCAAGTCTTGCCGTTTCTGTTTCGAGTCCTTTTACAGAAAATAATAATATATTTACACAGATCACTGCCGCTCGTTTTTTGTTGACCACCTTGTAGTTTTTAAATCCGAACACCACTATCTTTGGTATAATTTTCTCTCACCCGCGCGTTGTTTGATGGCTGTTCCTCATTGGTTGTCCCGCAATTTGATTGACTCGATGCTATCGCGTCAAAACAATGTGGGTCTAATTTGATTGGATGTTGTGCCGACAACACGTACGCAATGAGAGATACAGAGTGCTCCTTAATAACTTACTTTACAATCTTCGGGTTTGGGAGAAAGTACCAAGTCCGAGTGAAGTCACGAGTCAGTGACTTTAAAGTCCAAGTGGAGTTGCAAGTCTCATTGCATTTTGTCAAGTGGAGTCTAAAGTCGTCAAATTGATGACTCGGGTCTGAGTCGAGTCCACACCTCTGGTATAGAGTGACTGAAAGGAGTAGCGTGCATCAATATGTTGGGGAGATCGCACAGAAACAAAAGAAAGCATTGTTACCTCACAGATGACTTGCCCATGCTGTGGTCAATGATAAGGTAGGGATGGGTGTATTTGTTGAAAGCTGGCCAAGTGGAAGGGACTCTACTCCCACCCTTAGTGGGATCACTGAACAGAGGGAGTAAAAGCAAGAGATGAGAGTTCAAAGTACTGCACAAGTTCCAACCCAACCAGGGCTGTAAGGACTATCATTTCCGACCAATTTGCCAAAATCCAGCTCAGTTTAGCTGAGACCACTTTTAGGGGTTATGAATATATATATAAAGGTGAAATATTATTCTAAAAATGAATGAGACACAATCATAGTTCGTAATGCTAGCGGATTACCCCGTCTTGGCAAAGTTGGTCCAATAAGAGATCATGTAGCCCGCCAAGTCCCGGTGTCGTGGGAAGTAGATCAGCGGTAGAGAGAAGGGTTTTCCAAACAGATATTGCAGTTCCTCGGCGTGCTCTGCACCCACCCAGCGAGGGAATCCTGGGATACGTGTTTTCATGTTGAAAAGGTAGGAGTAGGTACTAGTGACGCTGAGACGTGAATGAAAGTCAAACACGAAATGTTGATTACTGGTAGGTATTTTTCGGTCATTTCAGTTATACCGCCCCACACATGTTTACGTTTGCGAAAAAAGAAACCGAGAGGTTACAAAAGACTTATCATGAATGGAACCTCTTCACACGTCTTTGGTAATCAGGACTTACTTGGAATTGTTGGCATGCAACTGAAGCGCAATCTGAGTTGGGACCAAGAAGAGGAAGTCGGTCTCAATGTCAGACACTGTTTTTTTGACCAGTGCCTGGTCTGGAAGGGATCCTGTCATAGCCCTGGCTCAGAGAGCAAGACAAAAATGGGAGACCACACACTTTTAAGTAACTTAAAACAAAAATATTTATTTTCTAACCAAATATCACAAACCCAAACAGGAAGCAGGTGCTCTGAGAAATGGTCGGAGAGAGAAAGAATGAGAAGGAGGAGCCAGTTAAATAACCTAGGCCCAGCCTTCCAGGTGCACATCCAATTAGTAGCTCCACCCATCTACCTGGAAACCTAAAAGAAACAGACACACCAAGAAATGACCAGAAAAGAGGACGGGGTCGTCACAATCCCCAGAGAGAGGAGTAGGTATTGAATGCTGACTCGGCAGCAGCATTACCCTTCGCTTTGGTCAGACTGGTCAGGAGACCCTTCACCTGTTCGCTGAGGACCAGAAGGTAAGGCATGAGAGAAGCACCATACAGTTTCATTGTGTAAACTATCACTAGAAAAACGTAATAAAGTTGTGTTGCTGTTTCAAAACTCCAAGTCAAACTTTGTGGGTACACCAACAACAGATTAGTCTGGCCTCCTGATTGGTAAACACAACCTACGTAACGTAATGATCCTGTTATTGTAAGGCACTAACATCTTGGTTTATGTTTATGCTTGAGACAAATTCAACTCAAACAGTGGTAGATTGGGTTGTGTTCTTGCCTGACAGCAAAGTTCTAACCCCATCGGTACCTGACGTTCTTTGGGTTTGGTGTTGGCATGTTTTTCCACAGTCCGACAACATGCAGTTACTGTACATACTCTCTAAAATGAGCATATGTACGAGTGTCGGTGTCAGTGTTTCTCTACATGTGGCCCTGCGACTGACTAGTGAACCTTCCAGGGTGACGTCAAAGCTAGCTAATACAGCGCTGCTTGTGCTACCTAATGGAGTGACGAATGTGAAGTTGCTGTTCTCACACAGTAGTGTTAGCATTTCTTTTGTTGATAGAAGGTACATCTACACCAGCAAAAATGTGTCCATCCATGCTGTTGACTCCGGCCATGTAATCAAACTGGGCAGCGTTGTGGAAGAGACAATTGGGCTCGTCTGGTATGAAATCACCATCAACCACTGGAGACAGTTCCAGAAGGTCCATGACTACACCTGCGGAGAGGACACTTTAAAACTAAAAAAAAGGCCAAGACAACAACACTAAACACAACAGTATCTTTGTCTCTCCCTGGTGGTCTGACCGTTTTTCAGGAGGAGAAGGAGCACATCAATTTTTCCCGCCAAGGTGAGCCCAACTGGGTCAGTCATCTTCAGACAGGTTACCATCAAGTCAGTGTCACTCCTCAAACAACCGACTTTACGGGCGATCTTCAGGGACATAAAGATGTCCATACATCATGGCGAGTACAAACCGTAGAAGTACCAGTTACCACCCAGTGTTAGTGCGTCTGTCACCTTCTTAGTGAGGGCCATGGGGTTCTTCTGCAGAGCCCAGGATTGAGGGCCACACCAGACTGCGTTAGTCCGAATAAACCTTTGAATAAACCTTGAATAAACCTTTATTGTAGGGGGACAGCATCTAAGGACGGTGGGAGAGCAAGAAGGGGGTCGGGGGTGTCAGTTTTACGTATTACGTATATTCACGCCCACATTTACATCCACTTTCATCCACTTATCCGTTACCGGGTCACGAGGTAGCAGCAGTCTCTATGACCACCACCCAAATCACATTGCACCGTATCAACCCTCCTGAACCTTCCTGCAGGTGGTGAGTCCACCGGAAAGTACCGATCGCCCTAACCGGGTTCCACACCAAAGACAGAGACATTGCCTCTGGGCCAAAGCTCCACTGAAATTAGGAACCTTTTTTTTTTAATTCTCATTGACCCCTTACCTGGTAGCTAACACTGGCAGCACCAGCTGATTGACCAAAAATGGTGATGTTCATGGGGTGTCCTCCAAATGCTTCAATGTTTCTGCGAATCCAAGCAATGGCAGCATGCTGATCCCACAGACCATAGTTACCTGAGATTGACAGAGTTAGGTTAGTTATTTTTCTGATGTTGCCATTTTTTAAAAGTTGGTAAATAGCTCAGATTTCCTGAAAGTGTCAATGAAAAAGAATCAATTAATCTAACCTCAGCAACAGGAGCTTCGCACCTATTTTGTCTCAAACATTTATGCCGAATTTCAATTAATAACTTAACCATAGATCATATGTGTCAAACTCAAGGCCCAGGGGCCAAATGCGGTCCACCGAGCCGTTTTGTGTGGCCCGCGGGAGCTTAAAAGCATTTAACCTGAGAAATTAAAAGTTTTTTATTACACAGCAATGAACAGGAATCTTAATGATCAGAGTCTGAATGACCCATTATTTTAAAATATTGCCAGATTATCTTTAAATAAAGAAAGTAAATGGATATGAGTAGATTTTCTTTGAATGAAGTAAATTGGTAAAAATTAAGTACATTTTTTGTCCCACTGTGGCCCGGTACCAAATGACCTATAGACTGGTACTGGTCCGTGAACCGGGGGTTGGGGGGTCCCATTTACAACTGGCCCTTTAAGGGGAACTGTATTGCTGATGTCCCCCCCCCCATGAAAATGAGTTTGACACCCCTGACATAGATCATATTGGACCAGATGTTTGAACCAAGTGAGTTTTTTTATTTTTTGTACTGTTGCTGGTGCAGACTGACCTGGCAGACGTGCGTCTCCGGTACTGAGGAAACCCAATGTACCAACTCTGTAGTTCACGGTGACAACGATGACTCCGCCTCTATCTGCCGTTTCTTTCCCATCATAGAGTGAGTTTCCAAGGAACTCCACATCGTTGGATGCTCCCAACAAGAAGGCACCACCAAACAAGTACACTACGTGTCGTTCCTTGCGGCACAAAGATGTTTAGATAGCGACAGTCTTCACTTCCGTGGGTTTTACCCTGTAGCAGCGTCACCTGCAGGCAACGGTCCCGATATCGGGTGACCTTTAGAACGCCTGGAGACAACGAGCACAGCACCTTTGAATCTGTCCTGTATGTTAGCAATAGTAGCAACAGTTAGCAACAGTACCGCTCCAGCCAGGATGAGGTTTTGGTTTCTCCCACTTCCCAGGAACATCGGCGAAGGGGATTCCTTTGAAGACATCTACACTTCTGAAGAGACCCATGGAGTAGCTTTTCCCCTCCACCTGCCCCAACTCTGTTTGGACCACACCCAGCTAAAACAAACAAACCCAACATTAAGGATGTTGATACATAGCTATTACTCGTTTTTTAAGGAAAACATCACTGTGTTTATTTCTCGTTAAGGAAATCGGTCATTTACCGCGGTGTTTCCCAACAAACCACTGTATGAGTCGCTGCCACCTAGTGACTGGAGGCTCGTTATCATTCAACCATTACACCCCGATACTTGAGAATTACTGCATTATGTCTGACACACAAATGGAGGAAAATCACAGCAGTTGCATTTTGTTTAGTCATTTTGACCACGCCCCCCTCCTTGAATCGCAACCTTAACGTGTTGGAGGGGTTTGAGTATCCGAATGAACCTAGGAGCTATGTTGTCGGGGGCTTAACACCCCTGGTAGGGTCTCCCAAGGCAAACAGGTCCTAGGCGACGGATCAGACAAATAGCGGTTCAAAACCCCCCCTTGATGAAGAAAACAAATCAATCAAAGAGGTTCGCGTCGCCCGGATTGACGTGACCGGGGCCCCACCCTGGAGCCAGGCCCGGGGGGTGGGGCTCGCCGGCGGGCGCCCGGGGGGCGGGGC